GGCCACAGTCAGGAGAGCCCCGGCTCCCACCGCCGCCGCCGCGGCCACGACGGACGACGGCGCGCATGGAACGCGGCGCCCCCCCTCTTTACGCACAAGCGCGCCGGCCGCGACCGCCGCCGCGGCGAGCGCTCCCGCTTCCTCGGCCGCGCTCGCGACCGACTCGACGCTCATGGTCCCCGTGAGCAGCGGCGGCGTCGCCGCGACCGACGAAGACGCACACGCACCTCGTCGGGGCGGGCGTAGGCGCGGCGGGAAGCGAGCTGAGGAGCGTCCCCGCCCCCGGCCACAGAACGCCCCGTCGGTTTACCCCACCATCACGAATGAATGTCGCCGAAAACCAAGAAGGAAAGGCGTACACTCTGCTCAAGAACCGACCGGGAATGAAGACGAGACAATGCGTATTGTGCGGGGGGGTGTTATCACACCCCGTCAGCCGCCACTACAAAAGGATACACCCGAACTACGTGTTTGACAACCAACACCCGCATTACCCAAAACCGTATTACTTTTATACGGCCGAAATCCGAGAAAGGTGTCCCGAGGAATTGCGTCCCCCCGCGAGCTTAGTGGGAAGAGTGCTGGGATACGAACCCAACTTTGCCGCTCAGTGAAGAGACGCAGACGCTCGCAGACACGCGAACACGCTCACACACGAACACCAACTCACCACACACGCACACGCTAGACGCATTTATCGTGGCAGTCTTGACCACAGCCGGAGTCCCGATAGACCGATCGACACAGACGCCACCATCGAATCGAGTCAAGCATGACGACAATCACACAGCACGAATATACACGCGCAAACAAACGAGTGATCAATTGTAAATTAATCAATCATTTAGTGTTAAGGCATGCAACTCAGTCATTAGATAAGCAATCAACCGTTCGATTCGTAAAGCACCTGTAAACTAACATTAAGTAAACATTATGTATAACGAATGACGACAATCGTAAACACAATCATTAGCCAATTGTTTTTCCTTTTATCTTTAGAATATTAAGTAGTCGATTATTGTTACACTTTTATAAATCATATATCATTAGTTGATTATATCTTGTTAATATTCAATTATTTTGTTAAACTTAGTTATTTCTACAACGTTTATAGTCGATGTATCGTTACGCACAAATGTACATTTAATTCACACTTGTTATCGATTAGAGATAAGACATACAGAATGGTCGACTAATCAGTAAGCAAAACAGACTAATAATAACAATGTATAACGAACACTAGTCATAAGCATGATTATCAGTTAAACTGATCGTTACTTTACCCTGTTTATATTCAATCATTGTCAACCGTTAACACTAATATTACCCATATTATATTTTATCTTTAAATACCTCTGTTATTTCATTTTAGTTTTATACTCAACAAAAAAAAAAAAAAAAAAAACCTAACAACCATACCAATCATACGACATACTTAGAAACTAATCAACAATGCCAACATCATATCAATGGCCATCTTAAATTGCAACGTTCATTATATTGCTTTATATACATAAGCGACTGTATTGTACACGTAAATTTAGCAATAGATCAACCAATGTTAATATCATACGAATTTCAAGGCAATCTGTAATCTCTACCATCTTGTTTTATATACACGCTAACGAACACTCAATATTTATGTACCACCGTAATTGACATTGTGCTACATTCTTCGTTTTAACAATCATGTCTGATGGTATACCTAACTTAGCAACTAAGCAATCAAACTTAGCACCATACTTATGTCACGTCAATTTTCAATCCTCACCAGCTGGATTTATGCCAGTTTAATTCATTGCTACAGTCGATGTCGCTTCATAGTTGTCTGATCTACACTGATTGTATATCCAATGCTACCAACAATTTTGTCGGTCGGTTACATCCGATAACATCCTAACTTCCGACACGACCCGCGCGCCCCTCCGTCCGGAGCCCGGCCTCGGGGCACACGACTGCTCTGGGCGGCGAGGTCGGGCGCTGGACGGACGGGCGGTGCGGCTCGCTTTCAGCAAATCAGCAAATACGCGAAAGCGCACTCTGCGCAGACACAACAGCCTATTTCGCGTCAATAATAATATCACAAGTAACAGTGATCCGTTGTTCGGACCCTCCTGGGTCTTCGCTTAACCCAGCTTACCATCTAGCCCGCAAGAGATTCCCTCGGACTCCAAATTACAACTTGTCGGAGCCGAGGCCTCACACCGCATCGCATCGAACCACATGTGTGGCCACCGCGAAGATCCGAACCGACGCCCCTCCGACCGGGGCCCGACCTCGTGACATACACGACCGTTTTGGGGGCGGGGTCGGGCGCCTGACGGACGGGCAAAACGACTCGCTCTCAGCAAACGCGCGAACGCACACTCTGTGCGCACTTAACAGCTCGTCTCGCGTCAATAACACCACAGTAACAAGGATCCGTCACTCGGACTGTCCCGGGCCTTTGCCGAATTTACTTACCATCTAGCCCGTATGGGGCCCCCTCGGACTCTTAGCGACGACTCGTCGGAGCCGAGGTCACCGCGAAGTCGATGGGCCCACCTCGGCCATTTCACGCGTTATGACCAGGATGGCCTGGTCGCCTCCGCGTCCCGCGATCGCTGCACCATGGGTGGGGCGCGGGCGGGACGGGGAGGCGACCCTCAGCCATCCTGGTATCAACCTAATATCTTTTGCAGGGCGACCTTCGACCGCTCCCTCCTCCTGGGAGGCCGGGAAAAGACATGCAGGTTCTCCTGGGACCACGGGATTTCTTCCTCTTGTCTCGCTTACCATCTTACCATCTTGCAGCTTGCAGCTATCTGCGGTCGTCCTGCGAGCGGCGTAGCGAAGTCGACTCTGGTCGACCCCGCCGCTCTTATTCTGGGGGGACTTTGTGATCGCCCCCCCGCGCCGCGACCGTTGCCGCTCGTGGGAGCGGGCGCGGGGCGGGGGGGGCGGCCTCCGAGACCTCCCAATCTGTCATTTTATATCCAATCGGTGTCGGGGTGCCCCCGGCGCCCGGCGGCCCTAACCACTTCTCACTCGGAAGGGACCGCCCGGCGGCGGGGGGATCCCCTTTCACGGCACCATATATATATAACTCATCTTATGTGTTTTCATCCCATCGTTTATATATTTTGCATTCCATTATATAATTATCTAGGAGACTGGCTGGAAAATCATGGTTTATCACTCTCAGTACAGAAATGTAGCACTGTAGTTTTCACAAAAAAACGTATTCTATACAACGCCATAGTGCGTAGCCACTTTGACTATGGTACTCCCTTCTTAGAACCTTGTAATAAGGCGGCATTAGTGAAAATTGATAGAGTCCAAAGCAAAGCTTTGAGAATTGTCTTAGGCGCTATGAAGTCGTCTTCAATAAATTCCCTCCAAGTAGAGTGCGTCGAGCCTCCACTGTATTTACGCAGGCAATACCTATGTGACAAATTCATACTTAAAATACTTTACAATTCCTCCCACCCGCTCATTCCAAAACTACTTACACTGGCTGATACATACGAATCTTGTACGGAGACCCGGAACCTCCCTTGTATTGTAGTAAGCTTCAATAAATTTTATAGGCCCTCTATACTGATGGAGAAATTTGCCGTCAACCCCCTCTATCAGAACAGTTTCTACTTCCTTATATTTCAACCGGATATCCTTCTTAACTTTGGAGTTGAAAAGAACTCTCCGAGTGCTTCTCATGATTTCTCAGAAACTTTTTATCTAAATTGGCAAGGATGGATACTGATGTACACGGACTCTTCTAGACTTACGGTCAACGGGCACGTCGGTGCCGCAGTGTGGATCCCAAATTACAGAATAGTATTGAACTTTCGCCTTCCAACCCTCTCATCTGTATATACTGGAGAGTGTATCGCTATTCTTGAGGCCGTGTTGTACGCGGAATCGCACAGTTTGGACAAAACTATAATATTCTCAGATTCTCTTAGCTGCCTCCAAGCTCTTGAGGCCAACCCATTCCGCTCAAAGTCCCGATCCCTTACCGTTCTTAAAATTAGAGAAGCATTATTGAGATGCAAGAAAAAGGGTATCAGTATAGTAATTGCCTGGATTCCTGGGCATAGTGGAGTAAATGGTAATGAAACAGCTGACGCTTGCGCGAAAAACGCAATCACTACAGGAATTTCTAACCACTTGGAGGTCCCTCATATGGACCTAATTCCTTTTGTACGCACCCATCTAACGCAGACTCTAGACTGGCAGAATACGAGGTCAAAAGCTGGCAAAAGCTATTTCGATCTACAACCTTTTATACCCAGTAAACCATGGTTTTTCGAACTCAATAATGTCCCAAAAAAAGTTATCTCCGTCATTTGTCGCCTCCGACTTGGCCATGCTTGCACACCGGTACATCTGGCTAAAATTAAAGTTCGGGATAGTTCTCTCTGCGAGTGGGGACTGGATGAAGGGTCACCGGATCACATTTTTTTCAATTGCCCAAATACTCTCCATTCCCTTTACGATGTCTTACCCGCAGATATCCCACGTCCGCTTAATATTAAACTGCTCTTAGGTCTATTAAAGAAGCCCCAATAATAAAAACACTAACAAAATTTATCTGTATCAATAAATTAAAACTCTAACATAGCTAATCTGTGTGTCTAATATTCACTAATCATGTCCTGTATATGTTTATAAGTTAAATTAAGAATGTGGCGTCCAAAGTTTATGTTGTGTTGTTTTAGGTAAATCGACCTAGAAAGAGATTTACTACCTATTCCAAATTGATTATATTAATCTATTATACCGTGTAGTGGTCTCCTACGTGAAATTGGCAGGATTGTGGTTAACACAAAATAGCCATTAAAATAGAAGAAGAAGATTGTATTACCTAGTTTGTGAATAAAAAATTATTTAATAAAGTCTAGGAAACAAACAGTGGGTGAAATAAATATTAATAATTAGTTTTTACACGAAATGATCAACATAGCAAAGTTAAGCGAAGCCAAACAATCAATTGCAATCAAACCGCAAAAAGCACAAATTCAATTTTTATTTACAACGCCAGCACGCCTTCTCTTCATGGATATTACCGGCTTAGATGGAAGTGTGATCGTGGGTTGTCTGGGAGTTTCCTTTGCTGAGTCCAAAGATACAATGATCTTATTTAACTCATCCATAGTGTTGATGCGCATACGCTTCCCATCAGCACCGATCACAATTATGACCCCTTGCTGTGTGAAACATTTATTCATGCCAAAAGCGTCACAAGCCGCCATAAAAACATCATGCCGCGTCTTTGTGTGGAACTCTGATATAGTTATCCCAGACTTTTTAAGTACCGTCTGTGCAAACCAGATTTTGTCCCGCATAGCGATGTCGCGAACTTTTAAGAGTATGGGCCTAGGCTTACCATCACCAGATGCACGCCCCATGCGATGACACTTGCTTATACAGTCATCTGAGAAATCAACAACTTTCAACCGCTCCACAATGGTACCTGTAATCACAGCTGAAGTATCCTCATTCTTCAGCTAGCCATGCCATGGCACAGCAGCATCTTTCGCCGGGTCCGCATTTCTATGTTGTCTACTTGACGTGCAAGGAGACCAACTTGTTGCTGTAGTGTTAAAAGTGCAGTAAGGATAAATGACCGAAAAGCAGCAAAATCACTTTTTAAACTGTTGATGTTGGGGGATGGGGATACAGCTCGAAGCTCATTTTGATATTCCTCCATTTTGTCAGTAAACAGCTGGTGAAGTTTGGCTATAGATTCCTGCATTGCCTCCATCTTATAAGTGAAGAAATGATGGTGATTTACTATTGTTGTGTAAGAGATTTCTTAAGGATAACACTCACCGGCAGGTATTGAGTATCACTTGTCAATATTTCATTAGAATTATAATCATGAAATGCATAAAAAAATATTAATTAATTTATTAAAGTTTAAGGTGTACCAAATGATGTTTACTTTATTAAGTTTGGCAAAGTTTATTAGATAAATATGAAGATCATAGAATGCTAGCCGGTAAATATTTAGATAAAATGTTAAATTTCACACCGATGATCACAGAATCATCATCGAATTTAAATTTATTTATTGAAGCTTTTGAACATTCTTATGAGGCGATCCAGGCATTAATATAAAAAAAATTAAGTAGTTTTATTTTATGTCATATTGCATTAAGGGCATTAGACCTAGAACTAGAAAATATTTTGAACAAAATTTAGATCAATCTACGATTCCAGACTTCACAAATTTAATATCATTTGTTCATAATCAAGTTAAAGTTTTAGATCACTCAATAAATTCTTCATATTCAAATACTAAATTCCATAATCAAAATAATTATAAAAAAACAACCGTAAAAAATATAAGGTCAGATAAGACGCAATTTAAAAATTTTTCCTCTGCGTCAACTTCACGTTCCAATAATAATCATAATTTAAAATGTAGTCATTGTAGCGATAAACACATGATTTTTCTATGTGAACAATTTCGCCAAATGCCTACTATACAACGAATTAATCGTGTTAACCAATTGCAGTTATGCCATAATTGCCTAAAGCCCAATCAAACATCATCTGAGTGCAAAAGTGAATTTAAATGCGTAGTTTATAAAAAACTTCATAATGCTTTATTGCATGTTGACACGAGCGCGAGAATCGAACCCGTTCCAAGCGCAGTGTCTATGCCGTGCGCCGCAGTTAAGGATAGCCGCTCCGCGAGTGACTCAAGCGCATTGAACGTGTGCCTGGCTGCATCGCAGCTATGTAACTATAACGTTGTTTTATTAGGCACGGCCGTAGTGTACGTTAAGGATATTTTAACAAATATCAATCCTGTCGCGTTCTAATCGATTCGGGTGCACAATCGAATTTCATTTCTATATCTTGTTTGCAACGCTTAGGACTTTCTACTTACAAATGTCCATTTAATATTTTCGGACTTGCCGGTGAATAAGTAAAAATCATGGTATGACGTCATGCATTATTAAGTCACGTCATACTGATAACTCAACATTTAAAATAGACGCAGTTATATTATCAAAACTTTGTTAACTAAAACCTCACTTTCAATCATCAAACTATTTATTCACTAATTTGCATACATCACACATAGCTATCAATAATCACAACACTTTATTTTATAATTTACACTAGTTGTCACAGCGCGAGCGGAACTAAGACTGCCATGCTTAGGTCGGTTGCTTGCTTATCTAGTCGCCATCTTGCACGTGAACGTCATTGTGCGCCGCAAGATGGCGTCACCGGCGTCAACTTCCGGTCAATTAATGTTGATTTCATTAAGTTGCCAACACGGCCATTCTGCAAGGCGTTTGCCCCAGACGCCACAATTTTATGGAATATACTGAAACTGAAAATATGAAATTAAATATGAAATAATGTAAATGTCACACGTATAATGTTCAGTCTTCTTAACATGTTCACATACTGATCGCAAACAGAATATTTTGAAACTGAAGACCACTCGCACTTAAAGGGACTTTTCCTCACTTAAGAGACCAAGTTCGTCTTTGTTTCCATGACGACTAAACTGAAGACCACTTGCACTTAAAGGGAATTTACCACACTTAAGAGACCAAGTTCGTCTTTGTTTCCATGACAACTAAACTGAAGACCACTTGCACTTAAAGGGAATTTACCACACTTAAGGGACCAAGTTAGTCTTAGTTTTTGCAACCACTCGCACTCAAAGGGCAATAACCTCACTTAAGTATACCGAGTTGGTTCAACACGTCCTACCTCACTTATATACGAGTCAGTAAATTTACACGCATGAACTATATTTAGGTAACTTATTTATTTACCTTGGAATACCGACGGTTTTAGGTATTTTTAATTTCTATTTATTAAAATAACAAGTCAGTTACAGGAAATATTTAAAAGTTATATGTTATTATTAGTAGTTTAACATATACTTAATAAAGGTGTAAGGTAATGCGGTCATATTGTTACTAATATCACACATAAGTAACTGTTTCCACATTTGTTTGTCTGTTAGAAAACTACTTGCACTTAAAGGGACTCTGCCGCACTTAAGAGACCAAGTTAGTCTTCCACCCTGCACAATAGAGCCACTTGCACTCAAAGGGATATATACCCACTTGAGCGTACCAAGTTCACTCACAATTATGCCTATGTACCTTTCAATATGTTTACAACAATTATTAATGTGTGACATAAATATAAGTTAAAGCATTTTATCTTGACTCGCAAACCTTACGTGTATACTCGTATTACTTTATAAACCAAATTGTTATGCCTGATGTAATATTTTACTTGTATACATAATTTTTTTTTTATGTGTTCTATTTTTAATAAACTATGAATAAGGTAAGATACCAAAAACAGTATATTAAGGTGTTTACCTTGCCAACACGAATATCTATTATATACATAATACAATCACGTAATTATTCAGATTCATTCCAGTTGTCTATTTTAATCCACGGCTTCATATTTTCAGCCGCTATCACGCCAGTATACTTTTTAAAGGATCTTTCACTTCCTTTAAGATCCGTTACCTCATATCTGTCATTTCCCACAAGTTGTTTGACTTTGAATGGACCCAAGTGGTCTAAATGAAGTGTATGAAAAGGTTGAGCATATTTTGGCATTGGAAATAATTCGCCTTCCTTGGCACCCCCTTTGTTTTTGAAGTATATACAATTTAAACAATTTTTTTATGTACTTTTTTATAATACGACGCATGTGGGGAAACCAGTAAAACTTTGATATTCTTTCTACAGTTTTGTCTACAGAAAAATGTCCAATGTCATCATGGTTGTATTTAATTATTTGCCAAATACATTTTTTTGGTACCGACCATCGACGACCCTTTGCTGTTCTTCTGTAAACTTTTGACCCAAGCAATTCGTATTTGTCAAAAACATCTCTATTTTGGTCGGCCTCTCCCGATTCTAAAATTGATTTTAATTGTTGAATTTTAGAGTCTTGTGTTTGCACTAACAGCAACCAATCTGCTTCAGTAATGGACATAATGATTTCAACTTCAGACTTTTCCCCCGAAACTACAGGATTTCGACTTAATGCATCAACATGCAGCATACGTGTACCTGCTCTATGGACAATTTCAAATGAAAATTCTTGTGTAGCTAATACCCATCGAGCTATGCGTGGGACAATATCTTTTTTAGTGAGCGCATATCGTACAGCACTGCAGTCAGTTATGATTTTAAAATTTGAACCTAACAGATATAGGCGGAATTTTTGGAGCGAACAAATAATTGCCAACAGTTCTAATTCAAATGAATGGTATAATTTTTCATTTTCGGTAGTTTGCCTACTATAATAATGGACTGGTTTTTCTCCCTCATTTGTAATTTGCATAAGTATTCCTGCAATACCCTCTCGACTAGCATCAGTGTATAAAACACTATCTCTATTGGGATCAAAATTAGACAGGAAATTATCTGATGTTAATTTATTTTTTAACGATTGAAATGTCTCTTCTTGTTTGTCTTCCCAAGCCCAGGTAGTATCCTTCTTTAACAGTTTTGTCAAAGGCACCAAAATCATTGCGCAATTTTTAATAAATTTCCGAAAATAGCTTATTAGACCAATGAACTGTCGAAGTTGGTGTACTGTTTTGGGTCTTGGAAACTGCCTAACTGATTCTAATTTCGCTTCATTTGGCATAATTTTCCCAGACTTTACTCGATAACCTAAGAACTCTATTTCACTTTTGAAGAAATGACACTTTTTTTAGATTCAGAGTCAAACCATTCATCCTAAAAATTTGCAATATCTGTTCTAATAACTTCAAATTTTCTTCCACCGTATTTGTTACAAGATAAATATCATCTAAATAACTATTACATTGTTAAACCTTAAATTACCTAAAACTTTATTCATCATATATTGAAAACAAGATGGTGCATTAACTAAACCAAAGGGGAGTCTGAGAAACTCATAATGGCCATCTTCCGTGATGAATGCAGTTTTGGGTATTGAATTCTCGTTCATTAATATTATAACCACTTTTTAAATCAAGACTTGAAAAACATTTGTGACCAGAAAGTCTATCAATAAGGTCATCAATACGCGGCATAGGGTACTTATCCTTAATAGTTATTTTGTTTAATAACCGATAGTCTATACAAAGTCTTTTTTCTCCATTTTTTTTTGTTACAAGAAGTGCGGGGCTCGCATAAGACGATCTACTTTCGCGTATGATGTTATTTTCTAAAAGTTCATTTACTATATCACGTATTATTTTTCTATCGTTATTAGAAGTCCTAAAAGGTCTGCACTGAATCGGTTGTATATTGTTAACGTTAATTTCCATTTCGTGATGATTAACTTTCCCTAACTCTTTAGTATTGAGTGCTACACAATCTCTATATATACTGAAAATACATTTTAACTCGTTATGATGAGAGTCGGTGTC